AATGAGTTGCTGAGGTACGTAATTCAAAATATGAATTATTATTGATACAATAAGTATATATAATTATAGTCAGAGTGGAGTTGTATTTCATACGTTGTTGGTGAGTGATTATGTATAGTCAGAGTGAGACTATACTGCATTTTTATATGTCATACATCATATGTGTCGTTGTTGTGAAAGAGACATGTTCGCTAGTTTAGAGTGGGGACTAGTGATTTTCCCAAGCCTTGAGTGGGGGCTTGGAGCTTAGAGTGGGAGCTTGGGGTTCCAGTGATTGAGACCGATTCGTATGAAGAACCAAATGTTGAGTCGGTACCACATGCATGTAGAGTTGATTTATGGTCTAGTTCATAGCATGGACCGTGATGAGCATGAGTCGAGTCATTGTTGCATTATATTGCATGATTGTGATTGGATGATTATGATGTGGGTGAGATGTGAATACATGATGTTAGTGTGTTTTTTTATTATGTGGATGATTTTGTAGACATGTGATTATCTATCCTGAATGTTTATGCACTATTTATCATTTGAATGTAATCTCACCGACTTTTTGTATTATTATGTTTATGCTCCTCTGGAATACAGATAATCAGGTACTTGAGTAGGAGTTTAAGGTTGAGGATGGTGTTGTGCCTCTTTAGTTGTTTGTCTCTCGGGTCTATAGTTGGAGTCGCTCTGATATGTAACACAAGGGGATTAGGCTATCCTATATTGTTTATGCTGCGTATCTTTCTGCTTGGTTTTATTCCGTGATGAACCATTTTTCAAACTAATAATGTTGTTGAAGCTTTTATGCCAAATGTTTTTGTAATTCCACTGCTTATCAAACAAGTTGTTTTTCATTATTATGTGGTTCAAATTGTTTTAATGGTTCTGAGAAGCATCATGTTTGGTGTTGTGATTTATTTATTTAATTATTGAGTCAGGAAGTAGGGTGTTACAACTTCCAACCATGGTAAAATATCAGTTAGCCTACTTTTCACCACAGTTGGAAGTTCCCACCGTGGTGAAAAGTCAATCAGCCAATTTTTATTTATTTTTGCAGCATGCTTTGACTTACCACATTGAGAGCTTCCATCACAATATAGAATACTAAATAACACCAACAAGAACAACAACAAGAACAACAATAACAAGAGCAAGAACAACAAGAATAAGTAGAACAAGAACAACAAGAAGAAGAACAACAAGAACAACACTACCACAACCATCATCAACAAAACAAAATCAATATAATCGTTAAACATTAAATCTCAAAAACAAAAACAACAAACAAATCAATAGACTCGTTAAACATTAAATATCAACAAGAACAAGAACAAAAATAAAATCAGTAATATCGTTAAATATTATATCTTAACAACAACAACAACAACAACAACAACAATAAAAACAATAGTAAGAAGAAAAAAAAAACAACAACAAAAACAAAATCAATAAAATGGTTAATTATTAAATCTCAACAACAACAACATTAAACATTTAATCAGTAACAACAACAACAACTAACATTGGTAACTTGAATCTATGTTTTTCTTGCCTCGTTCAAGTTTGAAAAGAGACGATGGAGTTCTAAACTTGTTAATCAAAGAAATGATGTATTTGAATTTTCTTTATGAAATAAATGATGTTTTCAAGTCCAACTTAGTGGAGAAATAGAGTTTCGTAAATGGAAGATGAAGTTTGGAGGTAAAAGATGAATTTCGTCTAGGGAAAAAGTGAATGAACATATAGCGTTATATATCTCGAAAATTTAATTTATTTTTAATTTAAAAAAAATACGACACCACTTTTCACCACGATTGAAATTCGAAATGTGGTTAAAAGTGGCTTAAAAAAATTGTTGGTGCTAGGATTCAAATCCGTTACCAAAGACCACTTTTTACCACAGTTAGAAATTCCAACCATGGTTGAAAGTGGCTTAAAAATAAATAGTAAATAAAACTAATGGTGTTGGGATTTGAACCCATGACCAGACTCCACTTTTCACCAAGGTTGGAAATTTCAACCGTGGTTGAAAGTGGCTTAAAAATGAAAATGAAAAAAAAAACGCCTAATGAATATATTTTACCACGTTGGACACTATTACCGAGATGAAAGTGCGTTACAAAATGTATATTTTGTAGTACTGAGACAACCTGGTCAAAATCGATGCAGAATCTCCCACATAACTAAGACTTCTTAAATTCAACTCTATGAGCCGGATATAGTTTACAAACGAGCTCTTAACATGAGGTTCTTCAAGCTTAAGATTAAGGTACAAACTTCCTCCATCATCGGGTCATGGCGAATACATAACATCTTCCACCATAACTCGGTCATATAAAATCCAGACTTTCACCTGTATCAAAGTACGTGTGCCCTTGGTAGCTAAAATAATAGGGACTTCATTGCTAGAACGCCTCTAGTGATAGGAATATTGGTGGCACCAGCCAAGAAAGGGATAACCTGGAGAGTCCTCCTCATTTGTTGCATTGTTTTCTCACACTTCATCTTATCTACAGGATCATAATAAACAAGTTACAGAAGGAACAACCAAAGAATATAAAAAAGAAGAAGATTCCCTAACTCACTCATTAAAAATGACCTTATTGGACTCTTTCAAGCCAACATCCACAAGTTGGTATGTTTCTATGAACTTCTTTTTTTCTTCTTCAATGTTGCATCAGTATGGATAAAGCCATCAACATAACCTATATCCTCGAAGAAGGACACCAACTGCCTATTTAGAAAAACATCTTCTTGAGACAAGTCATCCATCATGTAAACATAAGACCTAGAGTCTGACAAGGAATGACTTTGGCACTAGAAATTATAGAATATGTCTGAGCATTTGTAAGTCTAAACAAGGCATATGGAGCATATTTTAGCATGAGAGCATTTGTTGAGGGGATTGACTAGGAAAAATCGATCCTTGAAGTGCTTCACACTGTTCGAATGAACATCAAACATCCTGGTGCACTTTCAAAGAGATGTCAAGCCTTGACCCTTTCCTGAAGCAGTTGAGCTACGTTGATATTTGAAACGATGGAAGAAGAACGTTAAGGTTAACACGCCCTTCTTATATTTGCACATGTGTTAGAAGACTTTAACTTAAGTCCAAATCATCGACTGTAATTATGAAGGGGCAACTAATAAGAGGTTCAGAACACATACCTAGAAATTATTGAAAGCGGGATGGAAACCTATCAAGGAAAACATACACTTGTGAAGAGGAATGACACATCTAACATACTTGCTTCATACCCCTCCTATCTTTGATGGAAACAAGCATTCAAAATTAGAAAAAGGTCCCATCTCGGTGAAATCACAATCCAAACCACCCTCAGAGAAAAAAGTAAAGGTAGTGACCAACGTCTCTTGATTCACCCACACTAATGAGTTTTCCATCTTTCCTTACAAAGTATAGTAGGTGGAATCTCTATTCTGAAGAATATTATTATTACATATTAAAAAGAAAATATGAAGAAACAACACAATATACATGCAAGAGTAATGATTCAACGCTCCATTCAAACATGACAATAACAAAACTTCTAACATGAGAAACCCCATAAACATACTCTTTAGAAATCCTAATAACAAAGGAAGCGAAAGTAGAAAGAAAGATATGTAACTTACCTTAAAAGAAATGAGTTGATCTCTTATGTCTTACATGTACCACCGAACGAGATGCTGTAGATAAATCTAATCATAAAACTAATGCATAAGAGCTCGTAAGAAAGAGGGAATTTGATGATACAGATGATGAATAACTTTTACTGTTCACAAATGACAAAAGGGGGGACATTATTTTAAAGACTCTTTATATGTGCCTCATTCATAGAGGACCATACGACCTTCCGTATGGGGAAGTTAAAACCACACCATCAATTGTAAATATCTTCTTGCAAGCTATTCAAAACACTTGAGTATCCTAAGATTAAAGAGATATAATTGTTGACTAGTGTAGAGACACGAGTCAAAAATTCTTTGCAAAACATTACTCATTACAAGAAAATTATTTAATGTGTCTGTTCTCAACGAAAATGATGTCCCTCGTCGCCTGATAATACCAATCAACCATCGTAGTGGTGTACGCGGCAAAAGCTCTTCCTGCAAAGCAGGGACAAGGACTTGAGCGGACAATTGTTATAGACCGTTCACAAGGCCTAAAGCACAAGGTCCAAGAGCATATCCTCAAATGATAAAGCGCGTGTATCAGATGATCCTACATTCTCTCAAGAATAGTCCATCCCGCCTTACATTCTCCCAAGAATAGTCAATCCCGCCTTTTAAATGTGTCAATCACCGTCTAATTAGATCCAACAGTTATTAGCACAACACATCTCACCTCAAGCAGACAGGTTTATCAACTTCTCTCACTATATAAAGAGAAAAATATGTCATTCCAAGTATTAAAAGTTCATTATCATTATCACATTATTCCTTATTCTTTCACAAACTTGTGTTTGAAACCCACTCCACCGCCTTAAAAACACAAATCCATCACAACAAGACATTACTTCATTATTTCATCAATATTTTTAATTCTAAACCTATCTATCCATTTATTATTTACAACTCGTATAAAGAAAAAGAATAAAACTGGTGACATAATCTTTAGCACTCTTTTTTATTAATAAATAATAACTTATAAAAGTGTGTTATAGTATGTATTATCAATACTCTCAACAAAAATAAACCAAATTTTAAATAGAAAATAACACACATATCCCAAGAAATGCAGCCCTTTAATCCTTTCTTCATAAAATATTTTCAAATTCTAGTCAAGTTTATACTAGACTAAGATGATGAAATATAATTTGAAATTTGTATAAAGCATGTGTAGACTCAAAGCATATTATTATAATTATTAAACTACTAAACATTAAACGTTAGACAAGAGAAACCAACAAATTTGTTAAATCCACATTAAGAAAGAACATTGATCTAAGAGGGTTTGCTAGCTACGAAAACATTGAAATACATGCAATAAAAGAAATTTCGATACGATCTTAAGTCTCTATAATTTGAGGACCCAAATATTGAATTCCATCCATCTGAGAGTTTTCTGGCATCTCAATTTCTTCTAACCATGCATAGCTATCATCTTCTTCTTTCAATTCAGCAATCTCCCCATCTGCAGTTTAGTTTAAAATCACTAATAGTTAGGTTCAATAATTCTAAGTATTAATGTTAATTAAAGACTAATATATGATAGAGTTACTTAATTCATTTTGTGTGCTCTAATAGCTTAATATGGTTTTACTTCAAAAGTCATAGTCAAACCAACTAGGGTTCATAATTATTGTCCATATAGCATGTCTAGATAAGATAAATTCACAATTATCATCAAAGACATGTCAATATTTAACATTGACACACGCAGTGACACGTGTAGATAAGATAGATTCACATTGACACGTGTAGATAAGATAGATTCACAATTATTGTCCACGTAGCATCTTTAAATTATAGACGTGTAGATAAGATAGATTCACATTAACACGTGTAGATAAGATAGATTCACAATTATTGTCCACGTAGCATCTTTAAATTATAGACGTGTAGATAAGATAGATTCACGTTGACACGATTCACGTTGACACGTATAAATAACATAGATTCACAATTATTGTTCACGTAGCACCTTCGTATTATAGACGTGTATGTAAGATAGACTCACATTGACACGTGTAGATAAGATAGATTCACAATTATTGTCCACGTAACACCTTCATATTATAGACCTGTCAATATTTAACATTGACGCGCGTAGATAAGATAGATTCACATTGATACGCGTAGATAAGATAGATTCACATTGACACATGTAGATAAGATAGATTCACAATTATTGTCCACGTAGCACCTTCATATTATAGACGTGTCAATATTTAACATTAATTGACACGCGTAGATAGGATAGATTCACATTAACACATGTAGATAAGATAGATTCACAATTATCGTTCATGCATCACCTTCAAATTAAAGACACTCGGTATTAACATTAACACGTGTAGATAATCATTGACTCCGAGTGATCATGAAGTTAATAACCATTGACTCCTCAACGACTAATGTACCGAGTTAGTATTTGTGTGTGTCTGATGTATGTATATATGAGACACCTTTTCCTAAGATGTTCAAAATACCACATCTCCAAGAATGATGTTGGCTTTATTTTTACTTACTAATTTGGATCAATTGTGTCTTGGTGACAATTCTTATATCATAGGAATAAAGATGTTACTTACTTGGAAAAGCAGTGTAAAGATGATCCTTATAGTAAGAGCAATCTCTGTCATCATCTTTAGAGTAAGGTGGTCCAATGACATCAAGAACAGCACATGGAGTTATGGCTGTAAATTCATGGATGTTCCCTCCACTGTTTGGATACAACACTGAAGTGTCACATGGTGATGTGAACACTTTATTAGCTTTTAACTTTGCCAATCTCACTGAAAAAAAATACAAAGATTAAATTGACATTTTTACAATGTCAGCAGACCGCAACCGCAATTTAAAACCAAATTCGTGTTGTGAAATATATAGAGATTTGAACACATACATTGAGATGGTTGGTTCAACAAGTTGTGAGAAACATCAGGATCAACCCAATCATAGGACTTAATGTGCATTTGTCCCAATAGAAGCTTACTCAACACAGTCATTCCTGGATGGTTATGAAGTGGAATCACACCATTTGTAGGTAGAAAAAATATACAAAGCTGCATCAAACCAAGAAAAGAAATTAAAAAATTATTATACATTAAAATTAAATACATATATTCTAGAAATTTACTAAAATAAGTGATTGCAAAACTTACTGAAAAATTGTCACATTTGTATATAGTTGAGTATGTCACTCTTGGATTTTCCTTCACAATATTTTCTGCTTTGAAGAATTGTATTTCCTTACTTAGTCCAACATCTTCAGGCTTCATGTTATCTGATTATTAAAAAATATTAATATTTTGAATTTTGAAAGAAAAAAATGGATACATTTTAATTTATTCCAAAATATTCACATGCAAAATTAAATATGTTTAAAAAATTTTATTTTTAAATGGAAACTAGAGAAAAAAAAAATATCAATCAGTCAAATTAATACTCAACTTGACTAGAATAAAATATTAATTAACAAAAAAATAACATGCATTAACAAAAATTCTTGAAAAGGAAACAAATTGTAAGTAAGTAAATAAATAAGCTAAATTAAATGAACCTTTGAAGAAATGCAAAAGCTAAATTTGAAACAGCATTAAAAAACAAATTAATTGATCTAATGTTGTAATTAATTTGTTTTTAATTAAACTCTTGCATTAAAATCAACACCAACAACATGCAAATCAAAATAATCACCAAATCCAAAAAACATGACACAAAAATTTAAACAAAAACTAACAAAAAGTTAAATTAGTATCACACATTCTTTTCCAATTAATCACACAATTTGAAACATAGAAATTATAAAAAAAATTAAAAAGAAATAAATTTATCATACCAAGAATGTGACATAGTTTTTGTACATGTCTTGTTGAAGGAACATTGTCAGGTCCTTTGAATGTTTCCATGCATGAAACAAATAGCTTCTGAAGTGCTTTATTTGAAATTGGCTTCTTCACTTTGCTACCATGATATTGTTTCTTCTTTTTTATAATCACTCTTTTCACATAGCCAACTTTCTCATTTTTTTCTGCTAATCCATCCTCCATTTTCACTGATACACCTCCAATATCTTCTTTCATATATGTTAACACAAAATCTTTTGTCACAAATGAATAAGCCCTTTTTTCAAAATATTACTATTCCAAAAGGAAATATTTAGAGTAACATGCAAGAAGAAAGAGTGGTAGAGAAGTTTGAGAGAAAGATGATGAGTTCTTACTATGATATATATTTCTTTATATATTTGGAAGAGATAAAAATTATATCAAATGTTGAAAACCGTGGGCTATTTTTTACATGGAATAGTGTTTTCTATTTGACAAATGGCAAGTGTCATTAGAAGTTTTAAATATATTAGTAAATAATTACAAGGAATAAAACTCAATAGAGTTAATTTAGTGGAAGGATCTTAGAACCATGAGTGGAAAAAATGTGTTGCTAATCTTGTTTAATACATGTGAGTTTAGAAAATTTTCTATAAATAATTTTAAAATATTGAAGAAAAATATATATTTTATTTATATATATTTTTATAAAAATATGTAATTTGTTTTTAATTAATATAACCTATATTATTTTAAGTAAAAAGTTATTTTATTAGATGAGTGAATAAAATATATTAATAATAATTCTATAATTTATGTTATGATATAACTCTATTAGAATAATATTAATTCTAAGAGGTAGGTTACTATTGATACCTTATAAAGTAAATAATATTAAAATTATTACTGCTAGTTGGATTATGAATAGACTTTGTTGTGATATGAAGATGGATAACTATGAAATTTGATGAGAAGAAAAAATTACAAAGAAAAGGAAATGGAAAAGCAGTATCTGAGGCACTTCCCATAGATTGTTCGAAAACTAGCGGTTACCAGCGACCACTGTTTTTAAGCTGTTTTACCTGTTCACGTTTTGTTCATATGTTAAACTAATAAACTATCCATTTAATTTATCAAAATTTTGTTTATTTCTTATCTATTTAATTTGTATATAAGATTTAATAATATGTATATTCATTCAGTTAAATTATATATATATATATATATATATATATATATATATATATATATATATATATATATATATATATATATATATATATATATATATATATATATATATATATATATATATATATATATATATATATATATATATATATATATATATATATATATATATATATATATATATATATATATATAAATTAATAATTAATTTTTTTTTAAAGTTTTAACTTTTAAAATTTTAGGTGAGTTGAGTTTCAAAATTTTGTAGAATTCAAGATAGATTTTACGTAAATATTTACGAATTTTTATTAATGATGTCTCACATTGGTACTTACAATTAAATTTATTAATTTTTTCTTATCAATTGAGTTAATTTATTTTTAAATTATTGATTTAATAATAAATAAATAAAAATAAATATTATCATTATTAAATTTTAAACTAACAATTTACATTCATTAAATTCAATAAAGATATATTTGAGCTACTATACTAACTTAATTCATATTTATATTTTATTGAGTTAATTTGTTTTACATGAATCCACCCAATCAAGTTACATGTGTTATTTTTATTGATAAGTTTTTTTAATATTCACATAAATATTTATTTGAAAAATGCATGAGTTCAAAATATTTTCACTTCAATGTATAATTATTAAATTTAAAAAAAAATATATTAGAATATTCAATCTATGTTATTATGATAAATAAAACTCATAAGTAAATATTGAAATTGTAATCTTCATTTGAGGTGAAAGTTCATTTAGCTTGAAACATAAAGAGGTTATTATTATAAAACATAATAAAGTATGAGTTTTGTCATCAAATTTGGATGCATGTTAAAATGAGTGAGTTAATGTGTTGCTGGCAACTTGTAATGTGCATGGATTACACAAAAGCAATTAGAGATACGTGTCCATGGCCGTTCATACGTTGTACGCTTTGTACTGACACAGAGACAGGTGGTTTCTTCTTCATATTAAAAAATATTAATAAAATTAATGATACTCACACATATCATTTATATCTATTTAATAAAAGTGTAGTTAATTCAATTGAGTAAGGATAAAAGTGTGATTAATTCGATTATATAATTAACTATATTATGTACGAGTATATAAATAGATGAAATATTGAAGATAAATATTTAAAAGGAAATATTTGTAAAATATTAGGTCTCAAATGCTTTACTTAATGTTTAAAAGGGGTGGAATTTTGCAAGTGTGTGTAAAAGGAATATTTGAGCGCTAGAGTCACACTCATATAAAGGAAAATGTTATTATTATACACTATTTGTCTTCCCGAAATAGTTCTTCTCCAAGTTTCCCATATTCATTTTGAAGTAGAGAGTGTTTACGTAGAAATCAATAAGATTAGTTCAAGAACAAGTTTCTTGAGAATATGTCTTAGGAATATAGAGTTTTGTTGTGGTGTTGAGTGGGTTTAATTGGCATTGGGAACATGTTCGTTTAATGTACCTTGTGTAAATGAAACTTGTTACGGCAAAGACCTTCATGTGCATCTATGCGCCTAACATAGGGAGGTGATGCGTATAAATCGACTAGAGTGCACTCAAGTGCAATTATAAATTCAAGATTTCACTTGAGTCTTTGAATGAGATCTTTGATCTTTTGTCAAATTGTGGCCGTCAAACTTGGGGCCTTTGTGCCTATAAATAAAAAACGCGAGCTTTCTTTCTACTTTTTAACTTCTTCTTCATCTCTTGAGCTCCATGAGAGATAATTTTGCCTACGAATCACTTTACTATCGTTGAAATTTCTAGTTTTTGGACCGTCTGATTATAGCCTCTCCTTTATTCTTTCTTTGAATCCCTTGCTACATGCATTACACAAGGTATTTGACTCTTTTTTCCTTCGCTCACATATGCAGTTTGAATATTATTTTTTGAGTATGGAGAACCTAGGGAATCCCGATATAGATATTTGCATTCTAGATCTCATTGATTTAGAAATTAGCAATGGATTCCAGTGGTGAACCAGAGGTGGTTAATCATAAAGATAAGGAGCATGCCCCCTTATTAGGATAGAAATGAGGCAGGTTAACCTTGAGTTTACATGTGGTAAGTTCCAGATGATTAACCACATTCCAACAACGAACATTATGGACGATCATAAGGCACATAGTGTTTCCATATTATTAAGACATATTTTAAGCGTGAGGTTTTTGAGGATGAAGTGAAATGGTGGTTGTAAGAGTGGTATGTTGGAACAAGTTTGATTCTACATATACAATCCTTATGATAACAAAGTATAAAGAACAATTTTGTACACTAAAGATTAATTAAGTGAGCAAAATCTTAAAGATAAGGAAAACATATTATAGACTTTGGAAAATGCAAACTCTGGACAAAGTAGACTATGGATAGAGCAGACTATGGATTATGGACAAGAAACTTTAGACTCTGGATAAAGCAGACTCTGGATTTTGGACAAGAGACACTGAACTCTGGACAATAGACTATGGACTTTGAATAAGACATTATGGACTCTAGACTTCAACATATTTTAAAACAAGGTTGAAATATGAAGAAGTGTTTAACTGGTAGTCATTCATCTGGATAACCAAGTCAACGGTTCTAGAATAAACAATCCAGATTTACTCTGATAACCCAAACCTCATTTTCACTAGACTATAAATTTTAATCTTCAAGGCTTTGAAATCGGATCAAGTTTCAAATTATCTCAAATACGAAGCCAATGATTTAGAGAATAATGTTGAAAGAATATTATTGGAAATGGTACATTTAAGCGACAAAATCTAATGTTTCCTTAAATGGACAAATATGCTGGAATTATTAAGGAATGTACTATCAACAGATCTCCATAATTCACGACTTAGCCTCATACCATTGTTACAGTTGTGAAATTGAATAAGTTTCCAATTCTATCCTCCAACCGTACTTATCATCATCTATTTAAAGAGGACAAGAAATTGTGAATAGCACAAATAGATTAATAATAAAAATGAAGTGAGTAAAAAGCAGAACAACAAACGAGAGAAACAATAATTACAACACTCACTACACTTAGAGCTTTTACTTGTATATTTTCTAAAGTGTAAACTTTGAAATTTATCTTGTGTATCTTCTTGTTTAGAAGCATTCTTGTAAACACACACACTCTTTGTATTTTAACTTTGGTTAAATTTTTTGAGGGACTAAGTTTAGTCTGTAGCCTCGGAAAGTCATTGAAAATTGGTCTTTGAGTCGTAATATGTTTTATTAGTGGATTAAGTCCTTATGAGAAGGCAAAATCACTCTGATGAGTGGACTGGATTAGCTTAGTTAATAGTGAACTAGTATAAAAATCCTATGTATGAAACCCAATTCAACCCCCACCCATTTCTTGTATTTCTTGAACCTTCAATTGGCATTAGAACTTCGATTATGGTATTGATTTTTTGTGTCAAACACTTAACCGTGTCAAATAAAGATACGTTTTCAGATACAAGAAATGACATCTACCAGCAACAATGAAAAAAATCATTATTCTGATAAACCTCCAACATTTGATGGAGAAATGTTTGACTATTAGAAATATAAAATCGAAAGTTTCTTCCTTGCATATGGTGTAAAGCTTGAAAGTAACAAGATAGATGAACAACAAAATAAGGAAAACAAGAACCATCACAGATCCAGAACAATCTTACTGAGTGTTATTTCTTATACTGAGTATAAGAATATTACAAATAAAGACTCAGCTAAGTCTATATTTGATTCTTTGAGGATAACTCATGAAGGAAATGAGTAAGAAAAGGAAACTAAGGCTCTATCTTTGATTAAAAAATATGAAGCTTTCAAAATGGAAGAAAATGATACTATTGAGAACATGTTCTAAAGGTTTCAAACTCTAGTTGTTGGATTGAAAGTTTTGAATAAGGGCTACAACATTGCAGATTGTGTTAAAAAAAAGCATTAGAAGCCTGCCAAAGAAATTGAGGCCAACGGTGACAACACTCAAGGTTTCAAAATATTTGAATAGCATAACTCTGAAAGAGCTTGTAAACTCTCTAAGTAGTCAAGAGATTGAGCTAGAAGAGGAT